TTTACTATCTAAAGAGGAGTTTAACTTAATTGGTAGACTCTTTTCTCCCGTTCATAGAACAATCGTTAAGTAGTAGTTGAAGTATCTGTAAACTACTTGAAACCTGATGTTTTGTAGAACTGTGGTACAGAAGTCTTACTTAATCTATTACATGAACTATGGAAAATTAGTATAAATTTATTAGCGTTCTATCACGAACGCCGTCGTCTTTTTGGTCACGCTACTAACTATCCTTTCTGTTGTAGATATATAGATTACTTCATGGTTGGTGAGCGCGTCAACTATTACGCATCGAAATCGAGAGCGAATAATCTAATTATTTTAGTATAAATCTACTAGTGTTTCAAAACTTTGTATAAATTCTTGTCACAGATACCTCGAAAACGCAAAGGAGTGGCCATCATTTTGTTAACAAGGGCGCACTGCTACGCTACTCACCATCCATCGCAGAATAGATAGTGACTAGCGTAGCCAGCGAACGGATCAGAGAACGGCATTCGTAATAGAACGCCAGTAGATTTATACTAATACTGAACAGACGCACGGCAACGTGGAATCTACTTTTTAAGTAGAAACACGAGTTTTAACATATCAGCGCGCGTATTTCTAAAGGAATTTGACACATGTAGTTTTAATCTAGTGGAACTTGAAACGCCCTCAAACAAAAACTTAAGGAGGCATGTCATGTACTTGGCTTTGCTCATCGTCAAGCTGGTGTTTTAGCAGATGCCACAAATATTGAGGGGGGTGGGGATCTGAAATAAGTCAAGTGTAGATATCCTACTTACGTCCTATTTTCGTGATAGAGGAAATTTTTGGTGGCAAAGTACTTGCCACTTAGCGCCATTAAGACAAGAGCAGGTTATTACAGTTCAAGGGCTTCTGAAAACATGTACGTATACAGCCTTACTGTTCACGTCAATGAGGCTCTTTGCAAAATACTGTAAAGTTACCGTATCACTGCGGAACCCTAGGGATATTTCCTTATATGGGCTATATAGGTATGTGCGGCCCCAAAGGGTATGGTTTTTCAGCCGTTTTGATCATAAAGAGGGTAGCGATTTTGGCCATTTTGTCCACTGGGTATGGTTTTTGCACTCCTGTCTTGAATTGTGTATGTTGTTTAGAAGAAGATACTTTTTCGTCATTATCGATAAGACCTGATATCAACAAAAGCCCTTCACAATGCCTTTAACATCGGTTTGAACTGGATAACTAATTATAAGGCAGGTCTGAAACAGGGTATTGATTTTGGGGTCGGGTTATAATAGGGTGTGGAATTTTTGTCCAGGTCATAAATAGGGTAGGGAAAATCGCAGATTTTGATCTTAAATAGGGTAAGGGTTTTTGGAATCGAGCTGCACACCCCAACCTAATTTTTCTGGGAGTACTCTGGGAGTATTAGCGGACACGATGGGAATGAATAGGCCCTTATCATTTGCGGGAATAAACCGGTTGGGATGAGAAATTGGATAATGGTAAGGGTTTTTCCAAAGTCGGCAAACCAACAAAACGAAAATGGCGCTTACCATATACAATTCAATTTCTCGTATTCCTTTTCAGCTGAGAGACTAGAAACTGAATATGTTGACAAATGGTAAAGACTGGTTTCCACTGCGCATAAGCATAACCATAAGCCAACATACGCACACACAGTAAGATGTTGATGATTAACACCTTTTGTTGGAAATTATCAGAAAGCGGTTGTTATTTTGCTTACACTCCCGAAGACTTAAATCTTTGCACAGGTTAAGGGTACCTCGGAATAAAAAAGAAATAAATATAATATAAAAATAAATAAAAGTTTTAAAAATCGAAGAGTTAGAGGCTTAAAATAAGCTATGTTTTCTCATAAATTGTCAAGAATTCAGGGCAGACATGTGAAGTATAATTCATAATATAGGATCCTTTTCCAAATGTCCAAAGTTTAACTTCGAGAGGGAAATCACTAGATAGGTCCTCAAGATTAAGCAGCTTTGTTGTAGACAGAGATCCTTATAGCAAAACTCGAGAAGGCACAAAGAAATTTTTAAACAAATAATCGACACTCTATTTTTCTCTAGTTCCGTACACAACAGACACTCATTGGCTAAGAAGCTCTTTTCTGACAGGTCCACTCAAACCATTAACATATAATATCATGCTTTCACGCATACCTGCACGCGATCCTTTTAGACCGTAACGCTAACGTGACATAACAAAGTCACGCAATGAACGTGACATAACAAAGTCATGTAATGAACGCGCCATTACTCGATAGTTTCCGACAATGGTTAGAAAAACCTGGAACAAAGCAATGTCTGATTAAACTATAGCTATCTGATAGGAATAATAATCATGAATGTCTCACATGAAATATAACGTAATTAAATTTAAGATATAACTCGGCCAATAACAAATTAAGTAACAATTACATGTAATAGAAACTCATTAAGATGTTTCATTGTCATTGCTAACCATTTAGCTGGTTTGTGGAAGCGAATATATAGTATATAAATATAACTTTGTCCCGGAATTGGCAGCACAAAAGTGCAGACATTAGCTGCAATTAAAGTGCTCTATGAGCAAACTCGCAGTGAATGATGATTGACATAACCTATTATCTACAAAATACTTCAAAACGAAACGAAAGCCAAAGAAAATATGCTTGTCAACGGTCGAGGACTTCAAGGGACTGGGTCCGAGGTTGAGTGTGAACTGCAAGTGTTTCAAATGAATGGATATATTCGACTTTTCTTCCTTTGAGTTTCTTCAAGCGTTGTTGTTCGACGGTCGAATCCAAAGATCTGAAAACAAAGGAGTAAAAAAAAAAGAAAAAGAATATTCAATGATTAATCAATATAAATCTATAGGTAAATCTAAACTAGAAGCAATTTTTAATTCAACGATATTTATTGTGCTCTCTCGTCTTAAAGGAGCTCAGTTAAGGTATTTTGAGTTATTTTGGCCGGGTACAAAATTACTTTACACTGAAGGAAACCAGAAAATAGTAGTTAACTAAGAGAGAAAAACACCAACGAGATTAAAATACACCTTAAAAGAGCAAGGATGTTTAAGGATGGAGAAGATTAAGACGGATTACAAACGACGAATTACAATTGTTTTGGGGTAGAACTATTCTTTCCTTGCAACAAATATATAATGTAATCGAATAATTGACCCTTTATATGTTCACCTTGTTCTCAAATGAGAAAATGCCGTCTTGAGCTGTTTCATCAGGTGAAATTCTCAAGGTCCTCCTCTTTACCTCCTCGGTTGGAGCTTCAGGAAAGAAAACATTGTCATATATATCTTCATATTCAGCATAATCTTGTTGTTCTTCTTGTCCGCCATCTTCATCTTTATCTTCATCGTCATCGTCGTCTTCTTCGAACAAATGCCGAAAGCGGGGCAATTCATAAATCCCTTGCTTGCGTCTCACCCCAGTGGAAACGCTCTCCTGGAAGCCAGTCTCACTTAAAACTTCTCCGGGAACAACCTCCGTCTCGTTGACTTCAACGGTCAATGTCTGTACCTCGTAACCTGACTGTTGCATTGAGGCCAGGTTCTCATATTCCGGTTCTTCTTTAAGGCTCTGGTAGTGTTCATAATCTTCGTCACTGGAGGAAGAGCAATAGGTCTCGTTCCAAAATCCTCTGTCCTTCACATCATCCACTTTCTCAGGTCCAATCTCTATGGCGACTGTTTGTACCTCGTACATTGGCATATCATAGGGAATGGTTTGGTAGATTCCCTCGTCGTCTGGGCTGTCCACCGTTGAATAGCCTTTAGATCGATTTCTGCATCAAAGAAAAAAAAAAAAAAGCCATTCGCCCAAATTAGTTTTGAATAGTTCTACGACTGGAAGTAGATGGTCAACTGACAAACACTCACTATAATGCGTAAGTCTTTAATCATGTCATCATTGTAAAGTCCAAGGAGTATTCATTTGGTATACGGCGTTTCGACGATGCATCCAACATCAATTACATGTCATGGCATTGAATAATAAAACGGCTTTGCGCGTATTGAGTCTCATTGAAGCGTCAGTGAATGCCTAGGCTTCAATATACAACGACATACTTATAACAATGAATATCATTTCATGGACGAGGAAACCGAATTTATTGCAGCACTTCCTGGGCATCCAAAACGTCTCTAAAATATCTCTTTGTTTTAAACCACAAGTCGCTGAACTTGGTTTCGGATTGAAAACTTTGAGTAAGACACCGCTTCAAATATTTCAGTGTGAGGTAAACTAGCAATATAGATATTGATATGTAAAAAAGCATGCTTAGGCAAGAAAATGCTTCAGTACTCACCGAAGTGAACGAATGAAGACGAACAATGAACCTCCCAAGAAACCAAGGAACAGGACTACTGGAATCACTACAAAAAGACGCAATAGCTTAGAACTGAGTCATAGAATATCCTCATTTTAATTGATTTTTTGCGTGCATTGATTGCTAATAAGGACCTTAGGCAAACCTAGACGAAAACGGCAACGAGAACGTCACCAAAACAAAAGGTTTGATGAGCAGTGCAATAGCTATGTGCAACGTCAAATGAATGACCAAGTTCTTGGTATTTTGTAGAACGTGAGCCACGACGGCTAATTGTTATTATTTTCTTTTGGAATTGATCGCTTGCATTACATACTTATTTTGAGCAGGATTTTAGACCACTCGACCGGCTGAACAGATCTAGATAATTGCGAAATTCAAAGGTAAAATACAAATCATTTTTTGCTAGGCGTCGTCCTTGGTGTCGTCGTCGCCATTGCTTAAGGTCACTATGATAACAGGTTGATCTAAACGATCTCTGGAGGACGGACCCTAGCCGGGGATGGGGGTGGTAGTGCCCTCTCCCCATTAAGGCTTAAGTGCACGGAAGATGATCAACTCCCCCCCTATTATTTTCAGTAACAAGAACGGCGCCATCTTTACTTCAGAGGAGGAAAAAGGTCCATATCACTAAACGTCCCCCTCATCCGCCAGTAAATTGCAATCAGTGGAATTAGTTAATCGTGATTTGTACCATAGGCCAGCCATGGTGTAATCACAGATACAAGTCGATTCAGTTGGTACCAAAAAAAAGGTGCAAAGTTTTTTCTGTTTCCTTTGCAGCTGGGGACCTACCTGCTAAAAATGTGTCAAACACTGCTTTTTCCTCTGTTGCTTCGTCGCTTCTTTGTAATAAAACACCTGAGGAGGGGAAGTCCTCTGAAGAAAGAAAAACAAGTGTTTAAAGTAAGTACAAAAAACATGTCCATTGCTACATATAGGAGGTCTGGCTCTTAAGATCGTATAGATCTGCTTCAGCTGGTTTCGGGAAAAAAAAAATAATGGGGGGGTCACCCTCATCGTTTGAAATTTAGATCAGGTTAACTTACTCAATTTAACACAAGTAAACTTTTGAAGCTGATGTAGTTCCTTGAAGTAGAGTAGATCTTGAAATAGAATACATATTAGCCTTGCCTATTCACACTCAAAGAAAACTTCGAGAGCAGGAAAAGCAACATATTTGTAACTTCTTACGTACATATTTTTTCGCCAGATACAAAACCGTGCGCGTAATTGACGCCACTGTTACACGATGTAATTTGTTACCTGAGTCACAGCCGTACAGAGCAATACGCAAACAGGGAGATGTGCCTCTGTAGCCAACTGGATGAATTCGAATGTAATGAGTCCACGTCCCGTGCAGAGATGCATTTATACCATCAATGTTCTCGTTAACTTTGAACTGGAAAATTAGGGAAAAAACGTGTTGTTAATTATCTTAGCTGAAAAAAAAAAAAAAAAAAAAAAAAAAAAAAANNAAAAAAAAAAAAAAAAAAGAAAGAAAATGTTTGTGCTGCGAATTAACAACTACACTTCCGTATTAAATTTGCCATTTTCATTCTCTAAAAAAGCCAAGCATGATCAAGCAGGTTCTTATATGTGGGTTAAAGGAAAATTATAATAAACATTTTAACCGAGGAGTGTGACTTTGAGAAGCCAGGTTTAAATTACAAGAAAATACATAATACAGCTTGGAATAAGTACTGTATATTCAAGGACAAAACACAACTTGAGTTTATAATTTTTCTGGTAATCAACAACTATATCTCCTTCATGGAAATTAAGAACCTAATTAAGAACCTCACACTCACTCACTCATCCTCATCGGGCCCATGAGGACTGTTGAGGCCGGGAATTAAGAACCTAGGCTGCCTAAATTGCCAATGACTAAAGTACACCAAAATACAAGAACCTATTTTCCTAGACTTCAAAAAAGTAGGTTTTTACACACGCAGGTTTTTACTGAATTTGTACTCTGGGAACTATATATAACAGTGCAAACACATCCTTATCAATATCACACTTACAATTCTTATATCTCCTTGTTCAGTGTAGTTGACGAATGATTCCCTCTCAGAACTGTTACTCACTGATACATAGTAACTTTCGACCCAAGCGTTTGTTAAACCATCCGTGACACCTTCTGTTTCAATCACACTTACGTTTGTAAGATACCCTAAGACAAAGGAAAACAAAAAACACAAAGATTAAACATATGTGAAAACTGACATCAGACTTCCCAGACACTCGAACTACGACAGAGGAAACTTATAACCACTTAGCGACCCACCCCAGGTGAGTCTGTAAACAAACTGTAGCATCATGGCCATGATGACAAATAAGAAAACGTTATGGCGGTGGACTCTGGTTAGCGCGTTGGACTCCGAATCGGGTGGTCAGGGTTCGAGCCGCATGGGGTCATTACGCTATGTTCCCGGGTAAGACAAGACTCTCACAATACCTCTCTCCACCCGGGTGTATAAATGGGTACGGGCACATTTAACGCTGGGGAGTAATCAGCGTCCCATCCAGGGGAGAGCAGAAAACCTCCTAGAAGTTTCATGCTACATAAATCGAGATAAGTTCCGCCTGTATGGGACATTGCCGTGACGTATACTTGCCCATTGTTTTTATGTTAATAAAAGTACCCAAAGAACACTCACCAAAAAACACTTGGAAGTATGGCGCCGGGTCTGTTTGTGACGAACACCAGCCATCCTCCCAGCTACCCATAGTCTCGACACCAATCCTCCCTCGGTAAGCTGCCCGCCCCTTGCCTCTTTGAGAGGAAGCTGTGATGTCTTTATCTGGAATTCGACGATTGCTTGGTACTTTAAGACCCAGTTCTCTGAATCCACAGCCTAAGGGTAGTGTCCAGTGTATGTCTTAAATTTTATCGTAGACAATGTCACATCGTAACTGTCTTCGCATACTACTTTGGCATTATGTAGGTCAAATCATACTTTTCATGCTTCTGTGTTCAGACTTCTTAGTTTTCTTAGCTAGGGAATCGAGGGGGAGGGGGGGGGGGAGGAAGAAAGGGAGAAAGGTAGGGAGGCAGGAAGAAAATAACACAAGGAAGATGTAATAAACTGATCATCTTCCTGCCCTCAAGTGTTCTACAAAGTTTCGTAAGGACGTTTGTCAACACTCTTAGTTACATCCAAGTCATTTCTCACACAACCTTATCTTCAAAACATAACTAAACAAACAAAAAAAATCGTCATAATAGGTGTTTACCGACTCTCTGGTTCGCTGAAGCTGACTAATTAATCAACACATACCAAATTGACACTGCTTTCCATAGTAACCACGCGAACAATCGCAGCGGTAACTGCGTCCAGTGTTTATGCATGTTCCTTCATTGACACACGGTGAAGAGTCACACATTCCTTGGTCTTCCACTGCAAACAGCAATAACACAAGGGAAAAGAATGATCGTCGAGATAGTTAAATTTAACATAGTTAATTCCGTCATGATTAAAAACAGCGGAAACAAGAATGGATAAAGAACTCTGGTAAACTAATTTCGTCGAGGGACATTGTAAAATGCAATCTCTTTTGGGGTAAGAGGATTGGGTCAATGGGCCTTACCCAATCAGAGAAATTGAGCTTTTCTTCAAATCAGTCAAGGTGAAATGAAACTAAAACTAATAAATTGCAATTTCTTGCACATGTTTCACTTGAACCGGGTACCTTTACTTCTTTTTTTTTTTTTCGCAAAAATCGAAAGAAAAACTTACAGAAACAAATTTGTTTTTTCAGCTCCTTCTTCAGATCCTTCAGTCCGTCAAAAGACGTTCCGTAAACGTGATCGCCATCATTGCCACTTATCTCCTTGAGCTCGTCTTCATCGTAGTCGTCTCCGACACCGACCGCAAATATTGTCACGTTTCTGTCACGCAAGGTTTTAGCTGGAGTTCTTACTAAGTCGTAAGAAGAACCAGTAGTGACAAGAACTAGGTAGTTAGAAACATCTTTACGAAGTGTAGCACCTGAAAACATCTTATGTCGCACATAGTTCAGTGCCTTTCCGATGTGTCTTCCTTGACTTGGAAAAGGCGCATTGCTCACAACGGCAACTGCTTCTGTCGAGTTGTGGTAATCGTCAAAATTGAAAACTTGATAAACGTCGCTGGAAAAGATTGCCAGTCCGACGTGAGCTCGTTCCTTGGAGACGTCAAGGTATTCGATCAAACCTTTGACAAACTCGAGAGTTTTGTTAAAGTGACCACTGCCAGAAAGGTCCATGCTTGCAGAACCATCGATCAAGAAACCAACGTTGATATATTGCCCTTCGCAACCTAAAAAGTGCATAGTAAGGAGGATCAAAGACCACAGATTGGGATAAATTAGAGTGAGGATATTGTACAGTTATCTGGCTTACTTTGTTTAATAAATTCACTTGGTTGACTGACTGTGACTGACTGACTGACTGACTGACTGGCTGGCTGACTGACTGACAGACTGTAGTTAGCTAGTCTTTCAATCGGTCTCCTGTCTGTCGGACAGTCTGTTACTCAATTGGGTATCTGTCTGTCTACATGTCTATCTGCCAGTCTACCTGTCTGCCCACCTGCCTTCCAGTGAGTCTGCTTGCCTGCCTGCCTGCTGTCGGGTTGGTTGCAGCTGACTGACTGACTGAATGATTGACTGACCGACCGACTGACTGACTGACTGGCTGACTGACTGATTGACTGACTGATTAACTGACTGATTGACGGACTGACTGACTGGCTGAGTGACGGATTAACTTATCGACTGACAGACTGACTAAGTGACTGATTGACTGACTAACTGACACACAATCACAGTCTAGCCGATTTAACTGACACCTTTCTAATTATCAATAGATTGGGAGTGAACCCAAAATCCACAGATATACAAATAAACAGCCTCTTACGTGTCTGGCAATGTTCTCCGATGAATATAACAGGACATTTACAATCATAGCTTCCGGGTGTGTTGGTGCATTTCCCATCATTACCACAAGGATTCTGTGTACATTCATCTATGTCTGAAAAAGGACCATAATTACTTTGTCAATCGCGTTTAATTCTTGGTATATAAAACAGCATGGCCTCTAGTGGGCCTGAGAGGGGGAGGGGCACTCCCATCTATAAGGTATATGGGTATGTGCCGCTGTAAAGAGTATGGTTTTAAGGTAGGTCAGTCTGGAGTCGGGTAGAGAAATCAGACAGTTTTGGTCTAGAATAGGGTGTAATTAAGAGCGGAACAGGGTTCTTTGCCCGGGGTTTCAGAAGTGATTTTTATAAGATATTGGTTTAGTTAGCTTATGTTAGATTACGATAGTGATGAAGTTTCTGAAAAGGAAAATAACTAATTTGGCAGAGGGTAGGTGTTTTTGGTGCCCAGTCTAGAATAGAGTTGCAAAATCAAGCTGACCAACGTCTATTTCAGGGTAAGGGTTTCAGTGCACCAGCAAAACACCCCTACCCAATGATGTTCAGAGTACCCCCCGGGCTAGTGAGGAGACTTTTTCATACATGTAATAACGGTTTTAGTTCAAGAGTTAAGGAAGTGCAACGCAGCACTTGGCCCGAGTTGGCGATCAGAGGAGCCTCTTAAACATTGATAGTCATGTAACGATACCACGTTAAGCTTGTTCTTTCCCTTACCATGTTCACAGTTTGTTCCGTTCCATCCAGGAGCACACTCACACTGAGGCGACCCATCGTCTTTGACGGTGCAGTTACCATTGTTACCACAGGCGGACGGGGATACTACGCAGGCCGATCCAACTAAGCAAACAATAACAACACAATGAAGTTATCTTGCAAAAATAGAAAAAAAAAATGTTTAACAATACTGAGAAAGACCGCCAGTATATGCTGAACTAACCACGCTTTCATTACATAGCTAGTCCAAGGCGAGACTTAAGTGTATCGAGATGACTCATCAAGTATCCATATGGATCAAGTAATGTTAGGCAAATGACCTCATACTTCAGATGCTAAAAAAGGTAGGGACTGGCCAAAGGAGACATGGAGCCAGGTGTTGGTGTTTCGGGAGGTTACTCAGTGAAGGACAGGAGCCGAATGGCGTTCTTTGGTGGCGGCCTCATGTGCAGACGAATTTGTATCAGATAAAATGTACATATTAAGAAAGCTCATGGAAATTTACTAGACTTCTTGATGCAAGATTTATGGTATAGCGTCTCATGCGGATTAACAATTACCAGAACAGCAATTTCGTCGGAGAAGTTGTTTTATAAGGAAAGATGTACTTACAAACTTCGCACTGTTTTCCTGTCCAGCCAGACGCACAGGTGCACATGTAGCTACCCTCAGGAAGATTAAGACATGTCCCACCATTTGAACAAGGAGTCATGGAGCAAGGGTCAACCTCTGACAAAAACGCAATTGAAAACGTGAGCAATAATACTAATTTAGAAAACTATATTTCATCAAATGTTCAAGAAATGCTATTCCATCCTTTCCTTATGCAAATTCCTCTACCAACACCCCCCTAAAAACAAAATTCTACCTCTGCTGCCAAATGCCAAAAATAAAAACGAAAATGAAATAAACTGACAGAATAAGGCCTAAGGTGTTTTCTACAGTGCACATAAACCACTAGTGACGTCACTAACGTTATTTTATTACCTTGGATGATCGCATCCTTTAGAGACGCCATCGTAGGGCCAAGACCATCGTAACTATCAATTGTTACCACATGCTCCGAGTTAGGCTCTGATGCCATCTCATTCAACTGACCACGTAAATATCGACCAACACCGACACTGAAAATTGTGACATTGCCTCGCTTCAAAGCAAACGAAGGGACTGCTAGGTCGTCGTCTGATCCATCGTCAGTCAGAACAACAAGAATGTCTCGTCCTTTGTTATTTCCATGCTCGTCTGAGCGGTTAAATAACTCGGTTTTTGCTAGTTCAAGCGCTTTTCCGATATTTCTTCCTTTACCAGTTACGTTGAGATTGTCCAAGACAGTTCCAAACACTGCATGCGTGGTGTTATCATCGAATCTGTGCTTTAGGTATGGTTTATCAGAATATGTTATGATGCCCACTTTCGTGTCATCTTCATCATCTTTCAAGGTTTTTGTAACGCCTTTGACGAATTCCACTTGTTTTTTAAAATTCCCCTTCTGGTATTCATCAATGTCTTCTCCAGTGTATAAGACGAAGCCAACGTTAAAACCACTTGAATATTCTTTGATGAAAATGAAAATCAAAAACTTTAATAGACGGAGCTTAACGAATCTTTGAAAAAAAAACATCTTGGCGATATAAATAATCAAACAGCGTGAAGGGGAAAAACAGCGAGGCAACGATAAGCCAACAACAAAGAGAAATGGCTGCAAGTGATAAAGGAAATAAACAACAATAACAGCAACAACACCGGGTCCCCCGACCCAGATTTCTGTAAATGGCAAATTATCTTCTCAGCATCTGAAAAAAATCATCTTTTTAAAGTTGAAGCTAAGTGTAACAATTGCAGTGTAAGAAGCTGTTTAAAATAAGACGTCGAGTACAACATCCAGTACCTCCTCTGCATAAGTTCTCTTTGTTAAAGAATCCCGGTCTGCAGTTACAAAACGAAGTCCCTGGGAAGTTAATGCAGAGTTGGCTTTCCCCACATGCCACGTTTGAACACTCGTTAATGTCTGTCAAGGAGAGATAAATCAAAGTTGCACTATAGTATACCCTCCATTAACCTGATAACTTCGGCTTTTTTCTTTTGCTGCAAGAGCATTTCTAAAAGAAAGGTCTGTAGGACTGGTAGGCTTTCTCTTTAACACTGTCAGTAGAGTAAATATTTAACCTCACTGTAAGCAGAGAGTATTGCCTTTTATTGTAAGTAAAGAAAGTTTTGAACGGTACAGTAAGTAGGGTAAAATATTGTATTGTATTGTATTGTATTGTAAGTTGAGTAAGCATAAGTATTGTTCCGAAAGTAATGTAAGTATTGTTTCTAAAGGTAGTGGATTGGCGCTATATAAATATTTTATTATTATTATTATTATTATTATTATTATTATTATTATTATTATTAGAGTATTGTGGAAGCACCAAATGGTAGAAAGTACAGTACTTTATTGTAAATAATGTAAGCAATTATGATTTTTTGCCAAAAAAAATTGGGTTAGGACGTAATAGGCAAACAAATAGCG